AAAATAATTCCAGTTTTAAATGTCTGTCTTATCCACCTTGTAATCAGTTTGAATATTACACAAAAATTTTAGCTCATTCATTATACAAATGCAGGTAGCAGCACACAGACAAAGTAGTATGAGCTGTGCACCCAGAAAGATTTCAGTTTGGAACCTATTCATCTAGTGTGGCCATAAGTTAATAACCCCTTTGAGCCTCATTTTTCTCAGATGGAAAAATGTGAAAAAAAAAAACCTTATATTATATACATACAAATACTTTCTATAACAGTTTTCTTAGGATAGGGTATTGCCTGGAACAAGCACTCCACTGAGCACCATTTTCCTCCTTACTGTAAAAACCTTCTATTTCTTTTCTCTCTCCCTTTCCCTCTTTTCCCTCCCTCTCCCCTCTCCCTCTCCGCTCCCGCCCCCCACTTTCTACAGGGTCTATCTGCATATTCCAAGATGGCCTTGAACACACTACATAGCCTAAACTGGCCTCCAATTCATCACAATCCTACTTTTTCCTCTCCAGTGCTGGGACTACAGACAGGTGCCACATCTGGCAATATTACTCATTTTTAAGGACGAGAGACATGGACAATTTCAGAAACTGTATTACTTCTTTCTTCCATTTAAACACTCTTCTATACCTTGTAGAGTAGTACACGTGTTTCAAACCTAACAATAAAACAATTTCATCTAATGTGTTTTAATTATAGCTGACAACAAAAAATATCACCTTTAGTAATTTGAAGTAAAAATGACCTAAGTTAATTGTCTTATTAATTGGGTGTCCTTGCTAGACTTTCAGAAGAATTTGCTTTCAGTAACAACACGGGTGATTACATCTACATAAAAATAATTATGTTGGTTTTGATTTTTCTGTATAGCAAAAGGTACCCTTATTCCAATGTTAGAGCCCAAGAAGGAAAACAATCTCTCTTTTCCATGTGTGAATGCAAGGCACTAAAATGGGGCATCTGGAAATATGCGCCACGTGCCTAGTACCTAGCACTGAAGTGATTTCCATACTGTTCCCCCCATGAAGAACTGTTTCACCAGTGTAACTAGTCCTTGTCTTCAAAATCCTAGTGGCCTCCCTTTTTGGTTTCGCTAATAGTATGCAGAGAGTGAACTGTCTAATACAATTATTTGGTAATGACACAATATTGGTTATTGTTTGCAAAATTCCTGTACTAAATATATGACTTTGAAATGCGATTTATTTTTAGTCCTCCAAAATAAAATGCAGCAATTATCAAGGTCATGTGTCACCTATTTGAGTGACTTCCTTCTTCAATGAGCAGTAACTATCAAATTTTGTGATATAAAAATTAAGAACATGGGCTAGAGATTTAGTTCAGTGGTGCTGCTGCCTGCTTCACAAGTACAAGTATACTGAGTTCAATGCCCAGTACACACACAAAAAAAGAAGAAGAACACACATGATTAGGAAACAGGGAAGAGGCAGATTTCCGCTTCTGCTCCTAACTTACTATTTAATATTTATACAAACAGCACTACTTTGAACACTATTATAAGCACTGATAAATTTAACAAATGGTTTCTGGCAGCAGGAAATGAGCTTAAATGTTTTTCTTTCATTTATTTCTCATTTTCCACTGAATGTAAGTATTTCCAAGTTCACACAATAGAAACAATTTCCAAGAAAAAGGAAATGAATGTAGAAATGTGTTTGAAATGACACCCCCTAAAGCAAACACTAATTAATTTATTTTGGGACTTCAAATTTCTGTTTTTCACATTTTCACTGGGTTACACTTACTTAATCATTGTCTAACTCTGAATTTCTCAACATTTCACAACTATCTCCACTGATTCTCAGGCCAGAAAACCTAGAATAATCCCTAAACTTATCAGCGACTCTGTCCTCATCCATATCTGACAGTGTTACTCATCCAGTTTCCTTGAATGACTAGGCTATTTTACAAAGATGGAGAAAATTGTCCTTTCCCTACTCAAAACCAATACTAACATCCACTACCTGATGAAAGGAAGGTTTAGAAAAATCCATATGGCAGATGAAAGTGAAAACAGAAAACTACCTGAAGGATAACAGAAATTACTTATCTTCAATATCACTTAAAAGTTAACAAAGGTCATCACAGAGCATATGCAAATCAAAATTAATACTATGTAAACGTACGTGATTTTAGCACTAATTTGATGTTAAAATTATTTAATGTGGCTATTATTTAAAAAGAAAGAAGTAGCTTTTAAATAATTGCTCAAGAGGAATGCTATTGTCATTACAGCACATGCAGTGAAAAACAATTAAAAAGAAAAGCATGGGAAATATTCAGTGTATCGCAAAGTGGTATTGAACATGGAAAAAAACAAATCAGAGGCATCCACAGATGTTGCACACACACACAATATGACATTAGAACTATCCCACTATATTATACCCATTTTCTAGGGATTTGAAATATTGACATATATTAAGACTATGAACATCCATAAGCCACTTCCTTTACATTCCCTTAAAGACATATAGCTGCATTCCTTGAATTTTCTACTGGGCATTAGTGTTCTTTAATTAAAATTTAATCCTAAATATGTATTTTAAGGCTATCTCAGCAGTTTGTTAGGTGCTATGGGGATTTCATACAAAGTATCAGATTAATTTCACTGATCTAAAAGTGCTTAATTCAGGTGAAGATTCTGCAGTATAGAATTGCATGGTTTCTAGTAATCAAGTAACAAAATAAACGAAGTGGTAGGATTTGAACAGGAATGGTTATATATGTAGATGAAAACTGTTTTCTGTGCAAAAACAGCATGATCATAGAGCAAATGATAGCACTAAGTGAGCTTGAGAAAACTAAGAAACTGCATTGATTTGGGGCTGAGAACTTGAAAATAGTGGTGAATAACATTACATAATTAGTCTGCTTGGTCCCTGAATATTACGGAGACAAGTTTCATCCAGTGTAGCACCTTGATAAAGTAAAATAGGCTTGCACTAGGGAGGTAAGAAGAAAAAAGAAAGTCACAAACAGATGCACAGAAGATACAATTTTAAGATCCCAAATTTAAATCAGAGAGCCTCTAGAATTAAACATCAATGGACCCATGACAGTTTAGAACCCAGTTTGGAATAATATTTCCTGAGTTCACTTCCTAGGGCTACCACTTACAGCTTGTAAAATTAATATCTTTGTGGCTCAAGCATCTGTAAAATGGGACTAAAAATAGTGGCACCTATAAATGAGTCAATATACAAGATTAAATGAGTTAATATGTTTTAATAACAGTCACTGGAACGTGATAGTTTATGACAGTGTTGGCTACTGCTATTTATACAACTCACCATTCTTTTCATTTGGGCCAAGTGAGTGCAAGTTCCTGACACGGTCAGCTACCATATCTTCATAGCTTGTATCATACACAACATCGTGTGCCCCTCTGGAAGACGTGATACTGTATGTTATATACTATTCAAACACACAATAAGAAAAGAAGTAATAATTTCCAAAGACAGATGGACAGAAATAATCATCTTTTTCTGCCAAATACTGGAAATGTAATAGCAAAGAAAAAATTAAAACTGAGAGGAAATGCCATTATTAAACATTAGGTTTCATATATTGGTCCTATTCCAAAAACCAAAAAAAAAAAAAGTAAGAAGCTCAGCAAAGTAGATACTTCCAAACCAGTGTCTTTGTTATTATCAGTTATTTGTTGTTTGTTAAAGAAAAAGAACATTAAATGAAACATTTTAGACTTGCATTTGGCAAACTACATAAATCAGAATGTGGATTAACTTCACTTTCTTTCTTTCTTTTTCTGGTGACAGGAGAGTTTCATTTGGAGACACCTCCATGCAAATTATGGTAAACCTCTGATACAGACTGTTTATTTTGCTTGGTTTATTTCATCTTTTCTCATTGTATTGCATTTCAAACATGTAAAAGTGGTCCAGACTATAGCTTTCAATTTCTAGGATCAAATGAGAAATGCATTCTCTGCATAGGAAGGGTGACTATAAGAATAATACTGGTGATTTATCTTCATACTCTAATATGTGACATTGTTTTCATATATCTATTGGTGGAAACCCTTCAGGAGACTTTGGTTAAAATTGAAAATTAAATGTTTCACTTAGGTCAAATAGCCAAAATACCCACACAAACAACTTTTTGAGTTAGACAAGTTATGGGTGATGTGATCTGGGGATATCAGAACTATTAAATTTTATTTTCATTGAACACAACTGCATGCAAATAGGCCTTTTACTAACAAACATATAATGATAGTAAGAGAGGTGGAGTCTAAACAAAAGAGCCAACTACATTTATGTTTAAAATGTCAGATCTATACTTAAAAAGAATGGTATTAACTAAAAAATCTGCCAACACTCCTGGCACATAGACTACTTACGGTCCATCTGTGTTTTTAGCTTCTTGGTTTTTTTCCTTGGAGTTATGTGAGGCCTCTCCTCTGTCAGTGCCAAAGTCTGAGTCAGGATCCTTCGTCAGTGTATTTATTATATCAGTAGATACAAAAGGAATGTCTGGTAACTTCGGAGAAATATCTTCAGCCTCATTTTTAGGCACCTCACTCAGTTCTTCCTTCTCATCTATCTCTTCAAGGCTATAATCCGAGCTTACTCCGGCTACAAAGAAAGGCAGATATAATCCTAAATATTAATTTATCTTATTCATCCTATACAATCCCGGCAAGGAATTATTCATCGAACTCTTTCAAAATCTGGTTCAAAAGTAATAGGGGAACACTTTTCTAACACTGAACAATCATGATAACATTAGCCAGATTATCTCAGGCTCATACAACTGTAAAAACAATTTGCCATCATTCTAAGCTTTACTCAGGAAAGTTTAGTCAATCCCACAACCTCAAGTGAAATATTTCCTTTGGGAATGTATATTCAGTTACATGATTATATATTTATGCAATAACCCAGTAATGCAAATTAATTGATTTTAAAATGCAAATAAGAACATGAGATTTTTGCATTATCAACAAGTACATGTCTAGTTTGTTAAAGTAGTTGTCAGTCTGACAATACTTGAGAATTATTTGAGCCTCTTTTGAAAATACTGAGGTTAATACCCTACACCCCATAGCCATTAAATCAAAATCTCGGCAGGGTGGGCAGAGAATTTTTAAGGTTCCTCAGGTGATTCTAATGTAAATCCAGGTTTAAGTGTTACTGGTGTAAAAGCCTAAGACAATTTTAAAATACAAAAGAACAAATGTTAAAACTGGAATTAATTTTCATTACCAGTTTGATTCTGAGGCAACTTCGACAATTATTTCCTGAATATTATCAGAAAACATAAGCATTCCTAAGCAGATATCCATGCTCATGTTTCATTTTCATTCCTTTAATATAAACAGGAGCATGCTATACCCAGTATTGTTTCCCTAGTTCTTTCCCTTCATTTCACTTTTCTTAAATATCATCCCATACTAATAATATGTAATTCTTTTCAATAGTTGTGACAAGTACTTTATTGTACAAAATATCTTGTAATTATTTCTTGTACCTATTGTAAAGACAAGCTTTGAACTTTCAAATGAACACAAAAGTTCTAGATTTCTGCTTAAAAAAATTAAAAATTTGCATACTAGAATCTTAACGAAGCTCAATTTTAACTCTGTGTACAGAGATTGATTTATCAATAGGTCATCACAGTGATCAGTATATCTAGACAATTTAATAAAATTTTAACATACTTTTGAAAAGTTTAACATGTTTGAAACATTTAAAATACTGAAAATATATTTCACTAGTTTTATCTCTAGGTAAACAGGCAGAAGGGTCAGGGATTTAGCTCAGTGGTTCTGCTGCCTGCCTCTAGGTAAACAGGCAAAAAAGTGTGTCCTTTGTGCTTTGTAAGAAATAAATACGGAGCTGGGCATCATGGTGTGTGCCTGTACTCCCAGCTACTCCGGAGGCTAAGTCTGGAGGATCACCTGACCTTGGCTAAGACAAAGAAGGAAGGAAGGGTTATTTTAAAGGCATTTTATTGTTAAAATTACTTAGAAAAAATATTGAAGAATTTAAGTGAATTTTCAAGCATACAGACGTTGGCAAATGTCCTGTCGTGCCGTGTGAGATGCTCCTTGTGACGTCATTGTGAAGTGCTACAGGCCACGACATAACCTACTCTAACAGGAGGAGCAGAAGTGCTATTTCTACAACGTGAAACTGCACCAAGAAAAATGAAAGGCTATAACGCTTTAGATGTAAATGTGTTTTGTAAATGACTCCTCAGAATATATTAAGCTCTTCTGGACATTACATTAACTAAGGTAACATTTAGCAAATTATTAGTCATTACGCTTTCTCTTTTATTTGGTGCCAGGGATTGAACTCGGGACCTCGTGCTTACGAGACAGGCTACAGAATCAATGATCTAAATTCCCGGCCCACAGGATGCTTATTTTCTCATTTCTATCATTAGTACTTCAAAGACCAACAGTTTTTCTTTAAGAGCATGCCCTCACTGAGAAACTAGTTTCAGTTAAATAAGACAATGAGTCATGAATCATATCTTTAAAAAATCTTTTCAAATTAATTTTACAGATTGTATAACTTGATAGTTACAAGAATCACATAAGAGTTCTTACATATATATCCACTAATTTGAAAAGTATTCTTGTTATTAAAGGTTTTAGAAAAGGCAATGATTCTCTTAAGTTCTAATCATGAAAGACAGTTTTCATTCTGATGTGTGACTAGCAAAGACTTTTCTCAGACTTTGAGAGGAAAAGTCTACCGCCACATCCTGTACCACCCCAAGCATAACTGATCTCACCTGTATGTTTTGACCAAATTATAGGACAATGAAAAAGAAATTGTGGTACGGGCTGGGAACTGTAAGTAATTTTCACAAATGATATATAACAACTACTGTATTTTAGCTTTGTAAGCTCTAAAGGCAAAATATTTATTTTCCAAGAATAGTGTCCAAAACCTGAAAGTACTTTTAAGATCTAACTACTTCTGATGTATATTAAAAATTATTTAAAAACCAATCAGAAGTATATACTTTGAAATTTATTTTACACATATTGTGATTTATATAATGAATAATCTCATGTTGTTTTTCAACCACTCTAAAGATAACAAATACTAACAAAAACAAGAATTTTAAATAAAAAATTTTTTAAAATTTGAAAATCTAATACATGAGAAAGATATAACTATTTAAATTTTAAACTTTAATAATTTTACAAGTTTTTACTTGTGAAATTCCTAAAAGTTAAAATTTAACTAGGGATTTTTTGATACTTAATATATTTTTCCTGGGGATAATCAGAATGGCAAAATTGCCTGATAATTATTGTTCCTTTGCTAAAATATAATTTTATGATATCAATCCTATTCAAATATAGTATATTTTCTTGTTATTCATTCATTCAAAAAATGGTCCCTATATCAGCACATTGTAGTTGCCTCCAAAGTTGTTTTTCTGTCATCTTTGGAAAATGAGATATAATTTCCACTCAGTAAAATTCATCATTTTTGGAGCACAGTTCTTTGAATTTTGACAGACACACAGTATATAATTGTGTAACTACTGCCACAATCAGGACGTAGAAAAATTCCTGGCAATCAAGATGTAGAAAAACTCCTGGTGAATACCTAAATTTCTCCATGCTTCTTTGTAATCAACCTCTTCCTCAAACTCCAGCCTTTGGCAACCACTGTCTTATAGTTTTGCTTTTGTAAAAATGTCCAATGAATAAAAATATCCAGTATCTTGCCAGTTGAGTCTGACTTCATCATTTGACATAATACATTGGAGATTCTGCATATTATAGTTTGGCTCAGTTGCCTGTTTTTTTTTTTTCTTTTTTCTTGTTTTTTGTCTAGTTATTAGTATTATATTGTAGTCATGCAGAGTCTGGTTTGTTTACCCATTTCTTAGGGACATTTGGATGTTTCTCATTTTGGGTGATTACAAATACAAATGCTCACACAGGTCTTTGTGGGTACACAGATTTTTCACTTATCTTGTGAAAATACAGGCAGTGCAGCTAAGTCATACAGAAAATGAATATTTAAATTTCTCTTAAACTCTCTCAAGGGCTGTGGACATAACATAGTGGTGGAACACATGCTTGGCATGCATGACAGCCTGGGTTTAATCCCATTCACAAACCCATCCAAAAATGAAGGAACAAAAGAAAAACAACAACAACAAAAACCTGCCAAACTATTTTCCAAAACAGCCGCACAATTTTGCATTCCCAAAGCAGTGATAGTAGACACTGGTGCAAAGTGACATAGGCTTTTCTGAGTCAATGAAAAATTGGGTACAGTTATGATAAAATTTAAGTACTACATAGAGTTTTGGTATCATGTAACAAAATAATTCCACATCTTTAAAACAGAAAAAGCAACTGAGAACAATATTATAGACAACAGCCATACACAAATAAAGGAGTATTTCAATAAAGAATATATGTAAATATACTTAATACTATAATGTTAAATATATTTAAAATTGTATATTAAGTTCAAAAGGTTCCCTCAAAAATGTACAAAGTCAAATAGAAGAGGAAATCCTTTAGAACCACTGATTCATTAATCCTAGACTTTGTTATATTCTTTCATGTTGTTAAGAAAACAGTACATATGACCAAGATAGAATTTTAAGTGAAGAGAGAAACACTTCTTTGGGAAACATATTTTATAGAAAGGCTTAACAAGGAACCAGGTCTGTACTTGATGATGTCTTAATTTGCATAAACAAGGCCCCAGCCAGGAGAAGCCTGACCACCTACATGTCCAGGAGGCTACAGCAGCCTCAGGGGTTCCAGGACCCTCGGAGAGTGAGGTTTCATCTGGCAGTTTGGGCGAAGTGCAGTGTTCCTGATAGAAGAGCCCAGGGCCAAGGGAGCCTTCTGCCAAAGAAGTAGAATCTGTAGAAATACCACTCAGACAAAAATGTTAAGGCAAGCAAAGACCAAGAACCATTTCAGAAGAAATCAGATCTGTTAGCTTGTAATCATCCATGTATTAAACAGGAAGAGGTAAATAGGAATAAAGGGAGAGAAACAGATGTGCACATTAGAAGACTATGCACCTTTTTTAATCTTTCTCTGAGTTTCACTGCATATTTTAAGTGAACATTACTCAGGTTCTCTTAAAGAGTAAGATATCACTGATACTACTGAGAAAAAAAATCATTAGTCATTATATAATAGTAATATTTTAAATCACAAAAAAGTGAAGAATTCTTAGTTAAAACTTCAAACTCCTAAACATCATGTAAAATTTCAAAAATCAAAGCTTTGATGCTTCTGTGCCTTTCCAAATTTGCAAATAAATGATAAAAATGAGGCAGTTACATTAGTAATTTTCATATTTATCAAATTACCCCCATGCTAAAGCAGTAAATAGTAATATTCTAATACCATATTATTGGTCTGTCATATTCACTCATATCTAACACTAACTATAGGTAAGAGATTTTTATCATATGTATAAAACCTACTAAGAAACTATCATTGGAAACAGTATTATTCAATTTTTACTGGGATTTCATTTAATCAGGGAGAATCCACAAGAGTTAAATACTAGAAAGTATTTTCATGATAAAAAATTTTTAATAATTAGATGTTTCCAATTACTGATTGTTTTAATCAGTAGAGCATGATACCTAACTTGTTGAATTCATATTTGGAACAGTTGCCAAAAGAAATTGTGCTTATATTTTAATGTAAGTTTTCTTCTAAACACACCAAAGCACCTTCCTAACAATGATACGGCATTACTCAGGGGAAGGAGGTTAATAAACGTCAACCTGACACTGCATAAGAAAAAAACAGGAGGTCAAATAGGGAAAGCATTCAAGGTACAATTTCAGAAATGAAGTTCTCATTCTAATCTCAAATCCTTGAGGGAGAAAGATAAGGAAAATTCATTTCGTCATATAAACATTGGGAAATGACGTTAAAGAATCAATTTCCCTTTCATGTATAGAGCATGCTAACTAGATGCACTTCTCAATGGTCATGAAAGCTCTCTTCCAACAGTGACAGGGTGGAGCGAAGCTATCATACCTGGGCTGGGGAGCCCCTCGGGAGAGGTTGCTTCTGAAGCACTGTCTGGGGAAATGCCATCTCCAGCCTGCAGGGCTAAAAGAAGCAACACAACTTATACATAAGTCACAGTCACAGAGAAAACAACTCCTGCAGGTTAGCTCAGTTATTTTTATACAAGGTAGAAAGAAATGAATGCTGACCTGGCAAGAAGCCATTTTACTACCCAGCTGTGAAATGACTAAATTCTTATTCTCTCTAATTGCAGTTAATTGCAGAAACGTTCTGAATGAACTTCTAAATTATAATATGCTCGTTTTAGAATAATGAACCTGTACAATAAATTTTATTTTGTCACAGATTCTTAAAAAGTAGTCAAGTAAGAGTGTCATGAAGGACTATTTAAAAAGCCTAAGTATTATTATTTAATAAAAAGATGTTAAGTTATGACCTGTATCCTTTCTACTGTCCACATTAAACAATACAAATATAATATCATGGGAAGAGTAACACTACCTGTCACGTGGCCATTTTCGTCACTTTGGTGCAGGGATATTTTGGAGGGTGGGGAAGGTGCTTTTCGCTTTGTCCTCTTCAAAGTTGAATTCCCTTCGGATGTGCTGGTGAGCTGCAGTGAGCCCGTCCTCATTCTGATCACTTCACAGGGACTCTGCAGAGAACAAAACAACCACAATTTATATTTAGAAATTAATTGCAAACCCTAGGAAGACTCTAAACTTTACAACAAACACATCATATACCCAAATGGAGCATAATAATAATTAATTCAAAAAAACATTCTGTCATGTTCCAAAGCCATGTGGGGGGGGTGGATAGATAAGGAAAAATTAAATATGGGCATTTTCAAGCTATCTAGGCTAGGATAGGAGACTGACATGCAAATACCAAAATGTTGTCCAGAGGGCTAGTGATAAAAAGAGTTAAAAGTTAACTTTAAAAGAAAAATCTGGAGACGTCATTGGATGTAAAACAAAGAATGAAAAAGGGAAGGCTATTTGTACATTAGTAGCTGGCTTGATTAGTCTCTCTCTGAAGCCCAGTGTATAAGCACAAAACATTGAAAAAACTGTATGTCCACTGATGGAAGGTCCTTTGATGTCACCAATCACAAACAGTTAATGTTCCCACTCCCAGAAGGTGAATGCCAAGACCCAAAGCCACGTTTACCTCAGGAAGCTCATTGATATCCCCTGGCCAACTGCCATATTATCTTTACTCTTTACAACAAAACTGCTTTAAAGAGTTGTTCCCAGTTTGAATCTTCAATTTAGTTTTTCCCATTTGAGTCTCTATGGTTAAACTTTTCCCAACCTTTGATCTATTAAAACTTTTCCTATCGAAGTCACCAATAACCCTGACCACAAATATATCAGCAGTCACTTCTCAGAACTTACTTACATGATCTGTTAGCAGCATGAAAGTCAGTGGGCCACCCTTCTACAATCTTTATCTTGCTCCCAAAGGATACCACATCCCTTCCTGTCCAGTGATTCATACTCACTGGTCATTAAGTTTTCTTTGTTTATTACTTTTCATCTCTTACCAACATTGGTATTGTTCAGGGCTCCGTCCTGGGTCACATTCTTCTTAGTATCTATGCTCTCTCTCTTGGTGATCTAATCTATTCTCTTACTTTTAAGTATTGTTTATATGCTTATGAACCCCTGCCTCCATCTTGGACCTCTGTTCTGATCTCCACTTCATGTCTATAGGCTGTTTCATGTTAGCATCTCTAAAACTAAAATCGTTACAATCCTATTTCCCAAACCTCTACTATCTCAGCAAAGAGCAAGTCATCTTTCCAACTGCCTCATCTATCTCAAGGTCCACACTGAGTCCACCATGTTGGCTCTGCTCTTAACAGACATCTTTAGTTCAGCTCGACCACTACAACATAGTCATCAAAACCCTCTAATGGTTTCCCACTTGGCACAGAAAAAATCAGAGTTTTTACAGTTGATGACCTGACCCTGAAGGCTCTCAGAACTTGCCCAAGGCTGACTGGCTTTCTGGCTACTCCTCCTGTATATCAGGATAACTCTTGCCTCAGGATGGTTATGTTGCTATCCCCTGAGCCTGGGAATACTTTTTTTTTTTTTCTTCTGACAACTCAATGTCTCACTTCCTCTTCTTCTTCTTCAGGTTATTTCTCATATATCACCTTTCCCATGAGCTCCACACTGACTCGCAACAGTTCCTATCCCCTTTCCAGCTTGAATTTTATGATTGGTGTTTAATACCTTTCTATATACAGTTGGTTTACTTGCTTATTGTCTGCTTCTATTAGAAATGACTGAAATGGCAGCCCCCCCTTTGCCCTTATTTCTACAACAATCTCTGGCTCAAGAAGTTTCTCAATAAATATTCCTTGAGTAAATGGAAATGAGTTAGTCATTGCTTTCTTCTTCTTTGGTAAATAAGCTTGGACTAGGAATATATATAAAGTTTGGACCATTCTCATCTTACAAGGCAACATAAGCATATCTAAGGAAAGTTAACTACTTCATGAGAAATTTTTATTATGCCTTGCCACATACCAAGAAAAATGTGACAAATTTACTATTTCATAACTTTCTAATATTTCTAGCAGAGAAAAAAGGAAGCATTCTCCAAAAGAAAAGAAACTTTGATTTTGTTATCATGACTGCTGCCAACTGTGTGAAATACTAAAGAGAAGGCGGGCCACCTACAGTAGCAGGTGCTCGGCTAAAGAAACCTGTCATGAACCATTCATTCCTCTTACAAGGTAGTAGGGACAAGGTGATGGGACAAGTTGGCATTGGGATGATCTCTCCAGAAGTCAAACTGGCAAAGTCCTACCTTTTAGTTGTAAGTGAATAAGTCTACCCACTGCCACCACAGCACTCCAGAACTCTCCATAATCCAACAAGAGAGCAGCTAAAACTTGCTATCCATGTTTTTAACTTGGATATTAACTCAGAGTCACTGAAGTCCGTTCTGATTAAATATTGTGATTACTCCCATGGAGAGGATATGGGGGTGGATCCTCAATGGACCTTTGAAAAAATTTAAGAGAAGGGTCCCCTGCAACAAACAGCTAAGAAAGAAAAGTGAGGAATTAGCATATTTCAATATTTTCAGGAGAATATATAACCTTTTCACTGATATCTGTGTTCTGAAACTTTACCTATTATCTTATAAAAGTAATAAACTTAAGACACCATCAGAAGGCTTAAAAATTCCAGAAGAATGTCATTTCGTTTTTTAAAATGTTTGTCTGAAAACCAAAAGCAGTAGATGTTATTTCTTTTTGAAGCTACTTCTACAAAGCCTCATTAAAGCACTACTCCTGTTGGAGACCTAGTTTATGAGCAAGAATGCAGTCGGTAATCAATAAGCAACTCCTGAATGTATGTAGAAATGGCAATGTTTGATTTTCCTCTCCCAACAGTTCCATGTTTCTTATGTTTTGACTGATTGTTTTCACGAGGTGTATAATAAAAATATTTTCACCTTTAGGCCACATTTCTAGACACTATCACTTATAGGTCTTTTCTATTACTGGATAAAAGCAGTCATGACATGAATTTCTCAAGCAACAGTATATGCTAGGAGTTAGACTCTTACATCTGGGATATAATATAATAAAGCAGATAGCGCAGGAGGAGGGAGGAATTTTCATACAAAGGTTCAGAAATTCATATGAGCCTATCCATAACATGATCTAGAAGTCTAGAAGTCTTAAAATAAGTTAGCATTTTTGTACTGGATATTTCTATGGATAAGGAATTTTAAACTTGTCGAAACAGACAGATTTTGACAGTTTTACAAATGTTAGAAGTTTTTCACTAACATTTATGAAGACAGTTGAGGGAATGAATGTTGAAAGGGCAAAGCCATGGACATCTCAAGAAACATATGTTTTATAACTTTACTCTTTAAGATTTATCTCCTTATGCTGATATGACGATGTAAATATATGTACATTTCTGGAGCTGCAATTTTGATCAAAGATAACAGTACTAAAAAATAGGACAATACAGGAGAACATGACTGTTACTAAGAGATAACATCTGTCACAATTACACTCCATGCTGTGATTAGTGGTTAAAGCTTATTAAATTTAATGACAAAATATAAATGTAGCAAGAATGCAAGAGATGATCCAAAGGCAGGAGTTCTGAATTAATAAGAACTGTGAGTTTACATAATTGATGGCAGATTAATGACAGAAATTTCAGTTTTGTTTTGAGATTATTAGTGGTATTATTTGAGGAAATAGCTCTATATTTTTTGTTGCCCTATAAGACAGAGCAGCAAGAAGATTTTATATTGAGACTCTTAGAAACAAACCTCAATCAGCTAAAGTATTGCTGAAGAAAGTTAATGTAATAAAAGTCAAACTTGGGATTCTTTTGTGTTGTCTCAAATGTCAGTATACAAACGACAAAGGAAGCCCTTGGACTTAAGGGATTTTAATCTACAGAGTGAGTTTACGAGGAAAAAAAATCTTTTTAAGTCTGAGGTTTTGCAAAATTAGAAAACAGGTTTCTACTTACTAGCAGAAACTGCTTCGGTTAATCATTAGAGATACTCAATTATTTACTTTTGTTTAAACCACTGATAAGTCTGCCTGCCATTAGTGAATGCTGAGCCTCTGACAGGAACACACATCATCAAACTTTATGGGCTGTGAAAGGGAACAGCTACAAGGAAAACCAGAATATACTGGGCAAAAGAAAGTGGCAACAAGGTCAGGTGGAAAGCCATGCCATAGTTCAACCCTTAGAATTCACATCTAGATCAGAATCTACTGGTTCAAAATGAGACTAAATCTTACAAAGAAAATGGAACTAAATGGTGTTCAATAGATTTACTCTTAAATCATTTATTAATCACAGATGAATTATAAGATGTGGGCAATTGAAATCAGTATCTTCTAGATAAAAGAGTTAAGTGAAAACTAACAAAAAGAAAAAAATTAAACAGAGATACAAATAGAGTGCTTCAGTGATATTTGAAAAAGGTTTTTATTGAGAGCTTTTGGATATTTCTGTTTACAGTATGGTTTTCATATGTCGGGAAGGGTAAGGTTAGTGGAGAGAACTTAATCCCTTAAATTTATCTTAAAACTCATGTTTTTCTTCTTAAACAAGATTCATATTATCCTATTCTAACCCACAGTCTCAACAAATACTATGGAATAGTATTAAATAACTTATTATTGACATGAGGTTTACACAAATTTCTTATGAATTATGTCCCGGTAGCTGAACTTTCCATATAAATTAGCGTAAAGTTTAACTCTTTGAACTCTTGATGCAAAAAGTCTAAAACAGCTTTAGAACTTAGACAAGCAAGTCAATTTTCTTAAATGTCATTTAACAGTCACTTATTACACTATAATGAATGTAATATAGAAGTATAAAGTATTGCTGCGCATTGTGGCACATACTTGTAATCCCAGGTACTTTGGAGACTGAGACAGGAGGATTGCAAGTTTAAGAACAATCTGGGCAATTTAGCAAGATCTTATTTTTAAAATTTTTTGTGAAGGGACAGGGATATAGTTCAATGGCAGAATGCTTGCCAAGTATATTTGAGGCCCCGGATTCAATCCTCAGCACTGAAAATAAAAAAGTATGAGGTACTAAATTTACAAAATAGGCAAATTGTAAAGGTAAGTAT